CAAAACCTAGCGGGTGCCTGCTCGCTCGCGCGGTTTGTTATCACACAGTCGGACGCGGCGTGTATTTTTCTAGGTAAGGCATGCGGCGAAATGAAAGAGCGGCTTTCGTTCAATTTTCACGGCAATTTTAAATCAATTACTTCTGGCGATGGTTCCTCTAATCCGCTTAATCCTTTCAAACGTGTCAAACGCTCAATTCACGAGTGAATGATGGGACCAAGCACCAGGGCCGCATGCGGGCTGAGGGCACCCAGTCTCAGCCAAACAACTGCTTCCAGTGTTGCCTTGTACGCCCAAATTTCTTTCTTTGAAATTAAGCTTGTGGGATCAAAAAGGCACGTACAGCAAAGGCAGATCCAGGCACTTCGAACGAGGGAGGAGGGGGGGACTGTAAGCAGGGTCAAAGGAGGCTCCCTTCAGACATTTTTTGAAATTTTAAAGTATCGAATAGGTATGTGGTTTGAGTCAATTTCGTCATGAATAATTACCGGTTACAAGCGCCATTCCCTCTACTTTTTTCCGTTCCTTCCCTCTTCCTTTCTTCCCTCTTTCTTCCCCCCTTTTTNCCCCCCCCCCCCGGACCCGCCTATGCCATACAGATGAAACTAAGTGGACGCACTAATAGGAAAAGAAGGAAAGTTAAGAAAAACGAGCTAGCACCCAAAATCTGTAAATCTCAGATCCGTTTGAAATTTGGACGTATTTCTATCAAAGAGAACTATGTGCAGGTGGAAAAGATGGGATCTGCTCGTTAGTGCTCAGGCCATAAGAATGAATGGGAAATATAAAGCGCCAGCGACGAAGCCGTCGTCGCCGCTTCTCGTAGTGGGCATTACTAACTCATGAGCCCTGTTCACAACGCTGTAGACACATGCCCATGGCTCATGGGTGCTGCATTGAGTTGGCTCGCAATTCCGTTTGCTGAATTGGAAAAACGAGATTTTACATTATGCTAAACGGAGCTATGTGCAAAGTGTGTCAGCCATGGGTATGTGTCCAGAGCGTTGTGAACAGGGCTCATGAGTTACGGGGGGAGAGGGGGCGTAAGAGGGGTCAAAGAAGGCTCCCTTCAGACATTTTTTGAAATTTTAAAGTATCGAATAGGTACGTGGTTTGAGTCAATTTCGTTATGAATAATTACCGGTTACAAGCGTCATTCCCTCTTCTTTCCTCCGTTCCTTCCTTCTTCTTTTCTTCATTTTTTCTTCCCCCCTTTGTTCGGGGACCCCTACCACCCGACCACTACGAGGAGCCGCGACGACGGCTTCGTCACTGGCGCTCTATATTTCCCATTCATTCTTGTGGCCCGAGCACTAACCAGCAGACCCCATCTTTCCCTCTCCGCATAGTTCTGTTGGATAGAAATTCGTCCATTTGATTTTGGAAGAGGACAATGTTACGGCGCACAGTGGATTGAGTCAGTTAGAGAGGTCGGACATGAAATTGTTGACTAAAACTGCAAAGTTTAGTGTTCATTTCGTCACATTTTATATTTCAAGGGGTGCTTAAAGTAGAAAATTTGACGAGGAAACCAGTGGGAAAACGTTTAAAACCTCAAAATATTGTATGAACGGAGTTATAAGCGTTTAAATTTTCCAAATTTTGTCCGACCTCGCACAGTGGATCGAGTCTATAGAAGAGGTCGGACAAAATTTGGACACTTACTCAAAAACTTATAACTCCGTTTATACAATATTTTGAGGTTTTAAAAGTTTTTCCATTGGTTTCCTCGTCAAATTTTCTTCTTAAGCACCCCTTGAAATTTAAAATGTGACGAAATAAACATCAAAATTTGCTGTTTTAGTAAAAAATGTCATGTCCGACCTCTCTAATTGACTCGATCCACTGTGCGGCGCGGCGGGACAACTACGCATGGACGGTGGGATGTGCCAGTTCCTGAATGGCAACGGCATGCGGCGTATGCGTATACGTAATAATCAAGATGCGGTCAACGGCGCGGTGTGGGGGTTGCGCGGGGGCGGGGGAGGTGGGATCGGCGGCATGCGGCACGGCAGACCGATAGTCGGTGGCCACTCGTGAGTAAGCCGGACAGCGCCATGAGACAACCGCTTGAGCCCACCGAAGCCCCCGAGATTTATGTGTGCCACGTATGAATTGCGCATTCTTCACGTCTCATCCGTCCCAAGTTGCCACGCCACCGCAACGATCAATTAAAAGACAAAGCTTCATTTCTAGGCATTTCAGATTAGAGGGTTCCGAATTTTTCGGATAGAACTTTTGAGACTAGCCGTGCTAAATTAGCAAGAAATCTTGCTGAAAGTCCACAATATCTTGAAATTCCTGTTTGTATCGTGTTGCTCGGACTGGCGTCAATGTTAAGCTTCAGTTTTATATCCTCGGATCGAAATGTATCGGTCGCGAAAAATCAATTGCCGCTTCACGCCCACAGGATTACTAAATTTAAGCCATGGCAACTCGATCGGTAATTGCGGCGATTATGACAGGCCAAAATTGCAGTGGCGAGGAGTGAATGATATGGTATCGATTTTTCTCCATTTGAAGCTGTGGTAAAGAATCGATTGTTAAGTTGTTCATTGCAAACGCCCTGTTTATCGATCCTTTTTCATAGGTTCAAATGACAAATTAATTAATATATCGCAAAGCACACCATGCTACTGCGAAATTGCTAAGCCGGGGAGGAGAACGGCGAAAAGGTGCGTCAAAAAAAATGAAGTAGAGGAAGATTTATTTGGTCGGTGTTGTTTTAGTTCCTTCGTTTCGCTCCATCATAAATATTTGTGCATTAAAAGAAGAATCGAACCTCAAATTGAAAAAAGAAGAAAAAATTGAGGAACAACAGAGTCGAGACGTTATCGGGCATTTTAAGTCTCTCGAATATGGGCGACACCTCACTGGCAGCATAGAAAGGAACATTGCAAGTTCACGCATAGCGCCATCGCGCCTTCAATTTTGCAGACGCAACACGGTCATCCATCATGTATGAATAGTTGTATATCTCTGCGCCGTCATCAATGCGTCTCCATTTACTTTGCTCTATTTCCATACTGCGTTTGTTTCAGTTTGTCTTATTTGTATTTTTAGCGGTGCTTTAAAGAATGTACGATCAACACAGCCGTAAATAGGAGAGCCTTAATAAATCGAGCCTCGTTTCTTAATTTTCCTCACGACACCTCATTGGCAGCATGAAGCGGAGCTGCGGAACATCGCGCATTCACAGCTGGCGCCATCGCGCATTCAATTTTGCAGATGCAACACAGACATCCATCAAGCACGAATAGTTGTATCTCTGCCGTCTTCCCATTGGCTCTATTTTCATTTTGTGTTCCTTTCATTTGTCACATTTGAATCAGTGAGTTCGAAAACACGCACCAACTCGGGTTTTTTTCGATTTTCACTTTTTTACGGTTTAGTAACTTTTATGGATGGACGTATCTGCACGCAAAAGGAAATTTCGAAATTGCAATCGGAAGTGCTCGAAACAGCGACGGAAAAAGGGAAGAATCGAAGTATTTCATTGAAAATACCAATTTTTGGCCATTTCAAGGGAAACGGGTGACCATCCGATTTTGCGGTTTTCTTTTTTCGGCCCAGTATACTTTGTACTAACAAGTTATATAAATATTCAAGCGTTATTCAGGTCGAAAAATCTAAATTTTTCATGGCAGACTATGAAAAATCAGTATCTGAAAGTCGGTGAGAACGAAAACACACCAACTCGGAAATTTTCAAACGCTTAATTCTCCGTCATCAAACATGATGTATCGATTTCAACTAGGTGCTTTACAAAGTCTCTACGTACTTGTCCTTTGGCACCAAAAAGGTTTTTCTTAAACTAACTTCTTCGCCTGCTGTCACAGGTATTGAATTACCTGCAACTTGTTCTTTTCTAAACTTATAAATTTCTCATACATTTTAGATTTTTCATTTTAACTCTTTAGTCTCACTCAATCCAGTCCATTCTTCAACTTTCAGTTTTATCCTTCAACAATCTTAAAATTAATGACTAGACTTGCAGCTGATAGCTCCACTGATTATAGCCAGCCAATAGCGTGTAGACTTGTTGTCTCACCACCTGTGACGTCAGCAAGTCAATAAAAGCTTGCGCTGCCCCAAAATCGGGGTCCTTTACCATCTTACCCGTACTAGTACGATGTGCCCTCTCTCGTCTTATGCACATTTTCTAAGTGTGACTATTCAATCTTTGTAAATCTGTAATTCTCTTCCAAATTCAACTTAATACATCTTTCGGCCCTTTAAATATTTTCTTCAATTATTTCCTGCTCTCCCACAATGGACCACTAGACAAGGTACAAATTTCAGCATTCTGATACATGTGTCTTAACCAAAATTTCACGTAGAACACGATGCCTACAACGAAAATTACCGATATCAACTAGTTACGAAGATATTTAATGATTCTTGATGCGTGAATTCAAACCACCCGCTCGTGAAAACTCAATGCCCTACGTGATTCACATCGCGCGCGAAACGTTATCATGACAGTCTCTGCGATATAAAAATCTGGTAACCTCAATCTTGATGCTTTGACTCAGCTATGGCAAATTGCTAATAGTTTGAACAACACTTGGTGGGAAATGAACATTGCTCAACTGAGAAGATTGCTGAAAACGTTGTAGTGCGTGATTTGACTCACGTAGAGCTTTGAGTTTCTTGTGAGCGGGCAGTTCAAATTCCTCGTAACCAATGTGAAATAAAAACTTTAATATCTTCGTTAGGACTTGTTTCAGTAATTTTCGTTGTATGAATCGTGTTTTACGTGAAATTCTGGTCAAGAAACATAAATCAGAATCCTTTAATTCGTACCTTGTATAGTGGTCCATTTCTCTAGTCAAACTCTTAAATCCTGACACCTAGCTGCTTCGCAGTTTTAGGTGTTTCCTGAACATGTTTTTTTCTGAGTTGGTGTATTTACGAACTCACCGATTCAAGTTTAAACGGCAGTTCAATGGATATTTCGCAAAGCAGACCACGCCATTGGTGTATGAGAAATGACTTACCAGAGGAGCTAGATTGCGGGACGAGGCTGTATCTGGGACCAGAGGCGTTTCTCGGGTTCTGCTTGAAGCCAGGAGTCGAGACATCATTGACGTGGACCTGAACTATCTTCAGGTTCTTCGGGCTGTCCTCTGCGTCGGTCTCGCAGTCGGTGCCCGATGATCCAGCACCACCCACGCCACCCCCGACACGTACGATCTCCACCCCCTCCCCAACACCGGTCCGCGGGCTGGAGAGCAGCTCCACCTGCTCATCCACGTCCACGTCCATCGTCCGCTAGAGCGCGCTGCTCAACGCAAATCCTCTTGAACGCATCTCCTTCACTTAACCCGCCACTGAAATCACTATTCCGGGACAAGCATTCCGCAATGCACTTCCGGCCACTTCATCCGGGTATCTTGCATATATTTATAGATTAAATTTGATCATGAATGCGTAAATGATTTAAAAACTGCGAGATGGATGAAATCTCACATAGATCTGTTTTGTAATTTTAATGCCGTTCTCGCGGTATTTTGTCGAAAGGGAAAAAGATCAGACGATGGAAAAATTTTGGTCGTGGATTTAGACCCACTTAACTAACACGTTCAATACAGTGAAACGCGTAAAACAAAAAGTGGTCGCTAGACCAACCGCACTTACACGAGTAAAGTTAACTCAAAATTGAATGACTAGATTATAAAAAAGCAATACTACTTTTATTTAAATTTTGGTTGGTATCGGTGATTATAGATTTGATTTTGCACTTTCTTTCAGAGGATTTTTTTTATAACTGAATACTTTTTGTTAGCATGGAGACACACGCACACTTTTATTGCATTGCACATAGATTCCAGTCAAAAAACGAAATGGAAGAAAGTATACACACTGAAAGAGAATTGATCTCTCATTTATATTTTTGAGAAACTTTTAAATTGTTTCGTTATTTCAAATTTGCGCTAAAACCAAAATCTTGATCCAACATGAGTTTCCGGCAATTTTGCAGCTATTGGTTTCCTCCTCATGGCGTCCTGATGGATCTGTAACAAGAAAAAAATAAAAATATAATATCAGGATTATTTACCCCATAAGATGAAAAAGAAAATGCAATACTCAGGTCTCGTGCTTCGAAATTCGTTGCAAATTAGGTTTTTGAGGAAACGTGGATTATTGGGACTACATTTTGGAATATGGAACCACTATTTCTGTCTCATTTCAGAAACAACATATGTGCTATTGGTTTTCCTATGCAGAAAGGTGCTTTTACAGAGGAGCCAGAGATAGTGGCTCCTTAATGCAAAATGTAATCCATTGAATCGACGAGAGGAAGTATAAAGGATCAAATATTAGGACAGCGGGTTGATTGAAGTGGTGAAGGTGATTGAAGGTGATAACACAAATTGAATCCAGGTGTATTGTTACACTACCGTTGTAAAATTCCTCAACAGGTTTGGACATCATAAAGTTCACCAATTGATAATTGTCCTTCATCTTCTTTTACAAGTCCTTAAAACAGGTCCAGTTTTACTCTTGCATCCACACGCGTGTGCATGACGTCATAGGCAGTAGAAAAGATTAAGTTTGGGTTAAAAATACGCACCAATTTATAAGGAGTTGTCAAGTGTTGTTCTGTCAAACAAAGAGTCATTTCGATTGAGAACTTTCTCAGTGTTGTCTTTAAGACTGAAGTTCTTAAATACTTCATCTGTCAATACTCTGTTGGATGATGAGATTAAAATACACTATATTTGCAATTAAAGGTCCAGCTTTTGTAATTTATATTTAAGGCGCTATAAGGAGGGAACTCTAAAGGGGGAACTTTCATGTAAATATTCTTAGGACTTCTTATATCTTAACATGTATTAGGCCTTCGGCCATTATCTGTCCAATAATGGTTCCACCTTTATAACAAAATTAATAAATATTTCGTTATCTTTAAAAAAAAAAAATTAAGGGTCCAGACCAACACCCAAATTTTTTAAAATTAGTTGTTAGGCACACTTATACTTCCTCACACGGGTACTGTCACCGTCGTACCCGAAGAATTTACAGCGTAGGTTTATCACAACGAGATCCTCTAGGAAACATGAAGAGCTACGTGCGAGGCAACACGAAAGCAGAGTTGCCGATATAGCAAGTATGTCTAACTGTATGTCTGTTTAATTAACAGTTTAATTACTCGCCAAGCATGCTCGAAATTTCCGCTTTTGTCCATATGCTAGGAAATACGTTCGGAAATTCCTTGGGAAATGACAAATCACCTTGGTAAAAATTATTTGGGGGTCCATTAATCATTAGACCTTCATTCGCCCTTAGAAGTACTTTAAGAAATATTAACACTTGCAAGTACAAACTGCACACATAGCGATTGGATAATCACAAAATGGAATAAGTATTGAATAAAGATTGTCTTGTATGTTCGGTCCATTGTGCAAAATATCATTTAACGATTTTCCTGAAGTTGTTTTTGACGATGCGTCGAAAGCAACACGTAGTTTGGTCGTTAACCTTGATTCCTCTAATACTCCCAAGTTGGGGATGTAGTACGCGGGATGATCAAATTTTGAAGGTCCTTAGAGTTTTGTCATGTGCTCTAATTTTTCATACTCCTCTAAAAATTCAGTGCACATTTATTTTAGTTTTTTGCTTTTTTTTTCAATTACTTTCCAACATAAAAAATTTCTTCATCGCTGTCTTGTGAGAATCGCCTAGGCTTTCTGGATTTTCATTGAAAGGCAAAAATGAATTTACCATCACTATGTTTGTTTGTAGTTTCAGTGAACAATACTTCACACTCATTGGATAAAAGGATTCCACTTAGGTAGGACCCTGGGTAATGATTTTCATCAGAGGGTGATGCCTTTAATCAATCACATGGAAGCTCGACTTGCCTGCACTTCAATACTAAAGGCGAACGAAATTCACCACTCCGCAGGCCACGTTTGGTGCATTAATCCACTTTCTTCCTCGTGCATTACATCTGAAAGTGATACCATATTCGGCCACGTGGGAGTTCGGGTTACCTACACTGAAAACTGAAGGCAAATTGACAGTGAGATTAAGTCACCGCTCAACATGGTCGGTGAATTATTCCGCTTTCTTTCTCGAGCAATTGTGACATCTCAGAGTGATACCACTATTCGGCCACGTGGGAGCTCGGGTTGCCTAAACTTAAAATTGAAGGCCAACTGACAATGAGCTGAAGTCAGATCCACAAAGTTTTCCACGGTTCTACCTGTTTCTGCAAAAATTCCCTGATAAGTATCGATTTCTTAGGTTTCTAGATGTCCCGGCAATTCTCGTATTTATTTGCAAAATTTACCATAACAATTAATTTTGTTACAAGAATCGACCTTTACAATTTTTGACCGATTTTTTTTTTTTTTTTTTTTTTTTTTTTTTTTTTTTTTTTTTTTTTTTTTTTTTTCCATGAGCTGAGAGGAAAAATCAATGATACTTCAGTTAAAATTGCCCAACATCTTCCTGTAATTGTTCAATTTTCGAGGGGAAATTCGGCAACGTTGAAACGCAGTTACGTTCTCTCGCGCGGGAGTCGATGAAACTAGAGTCCCTTTATACTGAGAGTCAAGACAATTTGAATCCATTTCTGATTGGTTCCCGTAATTTAGGCCTCCACAATGTCACAAACGGGAATAAAGATTACATTTTCACCAATTGCAAAGATTATGATCTGGAATGGCCCGGCGAATTACGGGTTCGGCAAGGGACAAACGGAATGAGAGGAGGAACGGAGAAAGGCATTTGAGAATGGGCCGATCAAAGATTACGAAAAACGTTCAATTTCTGTAATCTTTATTCCCGTTTGTGACATCCATGAGCCGAATTGTCTTGACTCTCAGTATAAAGGGACTCTAGATGAGACATGGAAAGAGCGCTTTTGCGCCGGGAGGAATTGACGCGTAAGAGCGGCAGCCACGGGGGGGTATGCTAATTGGCGGATGACGACAAGTGCAGAGCTGTACCGGCAATGAAAATAGGCGTAAATCAGAGGTGGTGAATTAATTGAAATGGGATTTTTGCTTGACGGGAGGCATTTTTATGGGCGTCGTTTTTGGAAACACCTCAAGACATGATCTCGCCGCGTCTGGCGATTAAGAAACCCCGGCGCGGGCGCGGCGTCGCGTCGCCTCGCGTCCGACGGTTGTCAACTCCATTATTCATCGCCGACGCCGCACACTGGAGCGAGTCCTCGGAAGAAGTCGGACATAAAATTGTTGACAAAAATCGGAAATTTTGATGTTTATTTCGTCTTATTCTAGAGTGTGAGGGGTTATACCAGAGGACAACGAAGATGTTGCATGTGTGAGAAATTTGCGATTTGACTGCACCGAAAAAAAATTGAAGTTAATTTAACATTCTGGATGTAAAAAAAGTGTGCGAGAACTTACAAAATGCTAAAATAACTGCCACAACAGTTACTTCAGCAATGCCAAGATGTAAAATTAAGTGCTGTGGCGGGTAATTCAGCATTTATAAGTTCTCGCACACTTTTTTTACATTCAGAATGTTAATTAAACTTCCCTTTTTTTTTCGGTGTGTTGATTCTTGTGTCAAAGTTGGCGAGAAACACGGTGGTGCAACTGGTTTTCCCTGAAATCAACTCCCGAACTCAAAAAAAAGCTCTCAAGTTGAGCCCCGAATGGAGGAGATATCCCACGCTATGCTGAGCGTCCGCCTCTACATCAAGACAAACTCTCCATGCAAAGATAGGGAGCAAATACATTGACAGGGCTGCCACTTTATTTGGGGACTCAAAAATTGAAAACACGGCATCACTGCTAATGTATTTACTCCCTATCTTTGCATGGAGAGTTTGTCTTGATGTAGAGGTGGACTCTCAGCATAGCGTGGGATATCCCCTCCATTTTGGCCTCAACTTGAGAGCTTTTTTTGAGCTTGGGAGTTGATTTCAGAGAGAACTAGTGGCACCATCATGTTTCTCGCGAACTTTTACATAAGAATCAACAGTCAAATCGCAAATTCCTCACACATGCAACATCTCCATTCAATGATTTTTCGGGCTCATATCTCAATGTGTAGTTACGCCCTTTTGTCAGCCGAGGGACGAATTGTTCCCCCTAAAATTATGCGTTAGCACCCTATTTGGCTTTGAAAAAATATGCTAGAAATAATAGCGTGGGATATCCCCTTCATTTTGGCCTCAAGTTGAGAGATTTTTTTGAGCTTAGGAGTTGATTTCAGAGAAAACCAGTGGCACCATCGTGTTTCTCGCGAACTTTTACATAAGAAACAATAGTCAAATCGCGAATTCCTCACACATGCAACATCTCCATTTCACGAGGAAACTACTGGAACCACTTTTAGAGGCTCAAAGTTTTGCACTGGAAAAAAAATATGCTGTTTTAGGACCCAGGATGTCAAAAATGTGTCTGGTGATCCCAAGATACCGCCTTTACTGCCCTTGCAGTTAACTTTACATCCTATGAATGCAAATTCAACTGCGTGGGCAATCAAGGTAGCATCTTAGGATCACCAGACATATTTTTGACATCCTGGGTGCTATAACAGCATACCATTTTTTTCAGTGTGGATAAACGGAGTTATAAGCTTTTAAAGTTTGGAAATTTTGTCCGAGCTCTCGTATCGACTCGATCCATTGTGCGGCGGCGGCGAGTGCGGCACGGAATCGCGGCTGCGTCCGTGGGAATTGTTCCTCATCTGACATCGTCGGGCGGGGGGATCGTGCTGGGCCGCGCGTCCCGTCGCGGACTCCTCGCCATCCTCAATGCCAGCGTCCGCTCATTCACACTTACCGCGTAAATACGCATCCTTAACGGCGTTGCCAGTCCGCCAACGGCTCCATTACCACCGACTAGAGTACCTTTATGGGGAAAGTATGGACAACTCGAAAATTTGGAGGTTAGGTTTGATCAGGTCATGTAGCTCTTGGGGCCAAAGACTTCAGAATTTGAAAATAGGACCCAGGATTTTTTATATCAAGGCCTAGATACACACGGCGATTAATCGCCCCGATTGAAAGACGAAAGCCAATGGAGAG